AACAACATTGTCTATAAACTAGTCTTGTTAATGATCTAATGATGATGTCTTCCCCCCTCCCCCCCAGCGATTTCCCCCTGTGTACAGGATCTAGTATGGAATCATATATTGCACTGAGTTAAATATAATTCTTAACCTCCAAATTTATTAAAAACAATTCCATGGAAATTCTTCTTAACTATATTTACTTGAATCCATCTTTGTCAGCAAGTTAGTGCCTGATATTTAACCTTAACTTATTTGTGATCTATATCATCCACCAACATTTCAGCCTCTCAAGTTTCTTGGGTCACTGACATCCCAGTTGGAGTACTGCCTTTTAAGGATTGTATAACTTCATGAATCTGAAGAACCAGGCCTTACCAATTCTACTACTAGAGTACACTTGTGACATATGTATCCCATATAATTGCATCAAAATCTACGTTACCTTCAATTCTTCCCCCTTGATTTTGCATGCCTTTCATTACTGAAAATGCATTGTATCAACACAAAATCCAAAGTAGAAAGTAATTAGGGTTATAAAAGGTTAGCTTCCTATAGCTTGAAGACCTGATGTCTGTGTTCCATGTTAAACTGATATACTTGATACTAAAATCATCTTTTTATTCTGCAGGTCACTTAGACTAGGACGTCATATTAAATCTCTGGGAGAGGAAGAGAGATATCATTTAAAGCTGCAACTCCTGCTAGTACATTCTCCTTTATAGTTAGCTTTTGATGCAAACAACATTGGAATGTTATTTTGGATTCTGAGGTTTCTTCTTTTAGAAGTACATCGCACTGCTATCTTTGATAGTAAATGTGTGTATCTTATGCTACTGCCTCGTGATTAGAAGACTGTCGAGGACTACGAAGAGTAAACAGAGTTTTACATATGGCAGAGCAGTTTAGCTTTGTAGCACATTTTACAAATGTTTAGTGTTGAATCCTGTAGAGTAGTGGAGTAGGAGGACGCAGTTTTCCAGAGTTTCAAACCCAGACAAAGTTAATGTGTCATTTATTGCCTTTACTGTGCTCTCACATAGAAACATTTTACTTAAGATTATTTCAGTAAAGCATTAAAAGATGATGAGTACAAATGGAGGACCCTAGGGCCATCAAGGGAGAAGACTACCAGTGGAATGTGGGACCCTATCCAGAGAAGCAGCAACAGCAGAGATAGAGGCAGAGATGAGGACATGGAGAGAGGGAGCAGCTGAGGACTCTATTTTCATGGAAAGAAAGGGATTGAGAGCTGGTGGCCAGGAGACAGACTTGCAGAATGTGCTCTTTGGTGGTTTAAATTATTATATATGTCTGAGTGTTTGGGGGGAAAAAAAAAAAAAAGCTAGAATAGAGAGAAATACAGTTAACTGATGGTACATGGAAGGGATTATAATCATTGTAATGAAACAAAGTATATGATTTGTTGAATGTAAAACTGATGTTCTGCCCTGTAAACTTTCACTCAAATCACAATAAAAACTTTAAAAATGAAAGAAAAAAAAAAGGATATGAATACAGGCTTTCTTTTGGTAGAACATAATGACTAGGGAGAAAAAACATGTTCTAGTCTTTTACTGGAGTTCTGGTGTGGTGCTGTAGGAAAAGCACTGGACTGCAAAGTTGGTTTGAACCACAGGCTGGCAGCCCAAAGCCACCAACTGCTCCTCAGAAATCCTATATAGTTAGGGTCACTATGAGTTGGAACCAATTAATCAACACTTAACAACCACAACACGTCTTTTAGTACCTTTCCAAAATGCTTAACAGGAACATGGTTTGGCTTATAAATGTGTGTAGTAGCAATCAGATCAAAGGAATGTGAATGCACATTATACCAAAATGTGGAGTCCTGGTGTGGCACTGTTGGGTAAGCACTCTACTTCAAGGCTGGTTTGAACTGCAAGATAGGTGGTTCAAACTCACCAGATGCTCCTTGGAAACCCTACACAGGTTCAATGTAAGTCAGAAGTGACTCAAGGGTACTTAACAACAACAAGGTTTCATCAGGCTGTCTTCTGCAGGACATTGTCATTAGCAAAAACACTCGTGGCTTATTGACTTCTGCTGAAACAGCAGTGTATTTGGATTGGTAGTGTGGATGGGGAGACCAGTACAACCTTTTCTACGTTGGGTTTGATTACTGTTGGAACTGAGTATATCTCCACAAAGTTGGAGGTTCAAGCTCACCAGACACTCCTTGGAAACCCTATATAGGTTGCTATGAGTTGGAACCGACTCAGTGGCAAGTAACAACAAAATCATTAGAAGAACCATGGTGTGGTGCTGTCAGATAAATACTGGACTGCTAGGTCAGCAAGGTCAGAGGTTCAAATCTACTCGCTGCTCCTTGGAAACCCTATACAAGGTTGTTATGAGTCAGAACTGACTCTATGGAATTTAACAACAACAGCATTAGAAGAGAGGCAGAAAAAGTCTATCAGTAATTAACCTGTGGCCCCTAGAAACTCTGCCAGGTATCTAGCTTCATAGAACTTTGTCCAGTTTTCTTTGCACAGGTGTTGTCTAGCTCTAATAATTATGAGGGGAATTTGTTCTTTGAGACTATTGCTGTCCGTCCTTTTGATAACTGCTTTACATGCTGACTGAAGAATTCTACAAATGGCAGTATGAACACATTGCTAACTGTGAAGCAGAGGGTGTTTGGTTTTATCTTTTAGATGAATTGGGGATTGACATCATCCTCTACTACCTCATAACTGAGGAGTGCTTCTAAATCAAAGCAGTTCTGAATGGTGCAAATGGTTAATGCCCGCAGCTACTAACACAATGGATGGAAATTCAAATCTAACCCGAGGCACCTCAGAAAAAAAAAGCTGGTTAACTACTTCCCCAAATTGCCTATGGAAAAACTCTATGGCGTGCTATAAAGAATATTCTATATCCTACTTTTGTGAGTTGCAATTGGGATCTTAAAAGCTTATGAGTGGCTATCTCAGGTGCAACTATTGGCTCTTCCCTGGGCAGAGAAGAGTTATAAAAACTGAAGATGCTTGAAATCAGTGAGTCCATTAGACTAATAGAATACATAAACATTGGTCTCCATGACCCTGAGAGCAAAGAACTAAATGGTGCCTAACTATCAATACCTACTGTTCTGAAAGGGATCACATTAAAAGGTTCTAGATAGAGTGGGATAAAATGTGGAATAAACTCAAAATTATAAAAAAAAAAAAGTCCAGGCTTATAGGTCAGAAAGAGTTTGGATGAACCTGAGATTAGCTCCTTGGTCATCCTTCAGGTATGAAACTGAAATCACTCTCAAGTGATTTTCAGCCAAACGGTAGAGAGGCACATAGGGGGACAACACTAGTGAGGCATGCACATCAAGGGATGGTTAACCATTCAAGGTCAAAAGGTCACCAATTATCTAAGGACAAAATTTAGAAGGTAGAATGGAAACAATCTCACAGGGAGGAAGTGGGATAACTGTTGTTACATGGAGGGGATTGCAATCATGGAGATGAACCCAAGTATATGATTTGTTGAATGTAAAGCAGATGAGGTGCTCTGTAAACCTTCACTCAATTCACAATAAAACATTGAAAAACAGAACAAATGCCCTATGAAGCACAGTTTTACTTTGAACATAGAGAATTGCAATGAATTAGAGTTGTCATGACAACTATTTGCTCTCAATTAATAAGGCTAGCAATGTTAGAGAAAGGATTTCAAGCATTCAGCTGAAATCAATGAGCAAAATCATGATGCTAGTTTTAAAAACAAAAAGTAGCCCTAGAAAATTAACTGGGGTGGGATAGATGTCCTCTGAGGTTTTCCTGTTCTTCAAGTGTCTCACAGTGTCTTGAGAAAACTATTTTCCAGCTCAGAGAGAGATGTGTTTAATCTCAAGACAAAATATACCTATTTCCAAAATTAGCTGCTTTTACCATTTAAAATTTAAACATTTACACTTAAATATTGCTTTTAGTACTTCCCTTCCACATCGTCAAAGTAATATAATTTATAATAGAAAACTAAGGGGGATAGAAAAGCGGGGTGGGAATAAAAATATAAAAACCAAGCCCTCTCATCTTGTGATTCATTGGTAACTGCTACAAACATATTGGTGTTGACACTTCTCCTAAATCTTTTTATCTTACATAAACATATGAAAAATATTTTTATCAAAACTGTATCATGCTGATGACCAGGGGGCAGGCTTGCAGGGTATACCCCTTGGTTGGTTGATGATGCATGGAGGGAACTGTAACCATGGCAATGAAATACATAGGATGAATGAAAAGCTAATGTTCTTCCATGTAAACGATCATATAATTCACAACAAAACATTAAAAAAAAAAAGAACTGACTCCAGCAGTCCCCATCCTGGTGGTCCTGGTAGTCCACATGCAGATTTGAGGGTAGGGAATTTGGAGTGACAATGCCCACATCTTGGTCAAAGAAGGCATTGCATCTCAACTGGCAGTGCCTCCAAGACTGCACAAAAGATAGGAAGGACATCATCAAAGATGGAGAAATGGGTTCCAGGCAGGGGAGTCACACAAAACAACAACAACAAACTGTATCATGCTGATGAAATTTCGAAAACATGAGTGTCTTTCTTATTGAGGAGATTTTTTTGTTTGGAATTTTTTGTTGCCTCTGAGCACAAGTACTTCTGGAATTCATAAGATTCTCGTAAGCCACTGGCCTCCATCTCAGCAATTCCCACAGGTCAACATGACAGAATGCAGGGCGTAGAATGTATTTTTAGAGAGTTGCATAGAATGAGAAGTTTACCCTTTGTGTCCAACGCCAGAATGACCTCAGTTCCATTCACTGGAGCTGGTGAGCACAACTGGAAAACGCCAGACAGAATGAGAACCCTGTGCACCATGACACCAATAAAACCCCAAACAAACGTAGAAATCCCCTTATGCACTACTCCTGGGCCCCTTTTGTGTTGGTCTTGCCAAGTCACCCTATTTATATATAACAGCAGCCACTCTTGCCCCAATTAACTGGATGCTGATCATCCGCTGCCGACAAGCATGGGGAAGGTGAGCCATGGCCTAACCACTGCCTAACCACTGAGTCTGCTGTATGTCCGGACGGACCCTCTTGCTGATTGCCTGAGGTCGTCCTGTTTCCACGGCAGATTACCTACTATGAGGACCAGGGCTTCCAGGGTGGCTGCTATGACTGCAGCAGAGACTGCTCCAACCTGCAGACCTGCTTCAGTCGCTGTAACTTCATCTGCGTGGAGAGCGGTTGCTGGATGCTCTACGAGAGCCCCCACTACCAGGGGCAGCAGTACTTCCTGCTAGACTACCAGCAGTGGATGGGCCTCAGCGACTCGGTCCGCTCCTGCCGCCTCATCCCCCACGTGAGTGTTTGTCTTGGCTCCTCATGGAAATGAAATCCATGGAAAAATAACATGCTTAAGCCAAATAGTTCCCATTAGACAGCAGCAGAATGTGGATGGTAGTTCATGCAACCTAGTTGAGGCGGTGCCTCAGGAGTGAATAATTTTTCATGAACTCTGGAATTTCATCTTTTAACTACAAGTTCCTTAACTTGATATTTTAAATATAGCAACAACAACAACAACAAAGAGACCCAAAGACTAAGAAAAAGCAGGGCATGAAAGAAACTGAAATTACCATCTCTTCAAGATATAGTTTCAATAGATAGTTTTGATGGGTACACAGCATTGTGAACGGACTTGTCACTGTACACATAAAAGGTTGAAATAACAAACATTTTGTTATATATATTTTGTCATTAAAAAAACAGATGTAATTTCCAGGCCATTTCAACCTAGAAATTCAACATACCAGAAATTTAAAATATGCTGTTGTTGTTTTTGTTGTTAAGTGCCGTAAAGTTGGACGTTGGTTCTGACTTCTAACCACTCTGTATAGGTTTTCTGAGGACAGGCTGGTGGGTTTGAATCACCTACGTAGTGGTTACGAATCGGGCTGCGAACCTTAAGGTCAGCGGTTCGAAACTACCAGCCGCTCCGCGGGAGAAAGATGAGGCTTTCTACTCCCGTAAAGATTTACACCCTCGGAAACCCTGTACAGGGTCGCTATGGGTCGGAATCGACTCGACGGCACTTAACAACAACAACAACAACCTTTGCAGGGAGCAGTCCAGTGTTTATCCTACAGTGCCACACCAGGACTCCAATTCTAATCTAAAACTGTTTAATTGGTTAAAAATACTTTTGCTCAGTTTCCTATTTGATTATTCCCCCTGGAAACTGCAGACCCCTGTATGGTTTCTAGTTCTAATTCAATAACCAATACCTATGATAAGCTCATTTTGAGGTGTCAATTAGAAGGAAGACTGTCTTATGAAGTACTGTGATACCAGAAATATTATAAGTGGGTGTCTTTAACAAACGGAACATGATTTTCTCACTGTTTAGGAGTCTAGAAATCCAAATTCAGGGTGTTAACTTTAGGAGTCCTGGTGTGGTGCTGTAGGACAAGCACTGGAATGCAAGGTCATTTGAATTGCAAGGTACATGGTTCAAACTCACTCCTTGGAAACCCCATACAGGGTCACCTTGAGTCCAGACTGACTTGATGCCACTTAACAACAACAGCTGTAGGGGAAGGCATTTTATTTATTTCTTTAGTAGCTTAATCTATTTTTTACTTGTTTGTGTAAGAACATAAGATATGTAAAAGAGGGACTTCTTTTTTTAAACATTTATTGTGAATTGAGTGAAGGTTATATCATCAGTTTTACATTCAACACATTATATACTTCCATTTCAATGCTTGCAATCTCCTAAATTTAATATCCCCTATTCTGTTTCCTCCTTGTGTTTCTTGTTTCCATTCTTCCAAATTTCCCAACCCTTTTGAACTTTGTCTTGGGCAAATGCTGCCCTTTTGATCTCAAATTGTTGACTATTCTATGATTTGTGTACCTCATTACTGTTGTTGCTCTCCCTATATACCTATCTATTGCTTGTCTGAAAATTCAGCTATGGTGGTGAGCTCAATTCCAGACTTGAAGGATGACCAAGGGCCACAGTTTCGGGGTTCTCAGCAGGTGACCAGTAAGCTTGGTCTTTTTTATGACTGAGTTTTGTTTCACATTTTCTCCCATTCTATCCAGGATCTTCTAATGTGATCCCTTTCAGAGCAGCTGGCCACCATCTAGCTGTACTTCTTCCAACATAGATTTGTTTGTTCTTCTGGAAGGAAGCCCATCGTACATTCTTTACTAACATCATAATTTAAAGGCATCAATTTTTCTTCAGTCTCCTTTATTCATTCTCCAACTTCTACAAGCATATGTGGTGATTGAAAATACCATGGTTTGGGTCAGGTACACCTTAGTCTTCAAAGTGACATCTTTTCCTTTTTAAACTTTAAGGTGGTCTTTTTTAGCTGGACTATATAAAGTCTAGACTGCTGGTGTGGCTCTGTATAAGGTCAGCAGTTCAAACCCACCACTGCTCCTTGGTCACTATGAGTCCAAACTGACTCAACAGCACTTAACAACAACATATGAAGAATGTAGTATCAGGATTGGAGGAAAATTCATTAACAACCTGCAATATGCAGATTAACACAACCTTGCTTGCTGAAAGTAAAGAGGACTAGAAGCACTTACAGATGAAGATCAAAGACTACAGCCTTCAGTATGGATTACACCTTAATATAATGAAAAAATCCACACAATTGGATCAATAAGCCACACTACAACAAATGGAAAATAAATTAAAGTTGTCAAGGATTTCATTTTACTTGGATTCACACCCATGGGAGAAGCATGTCCTATAGAGTCTGTGAAAATCTTCATATTAGTCTTACAGAAAATAACGAAATGTTGATTCCTTTATATATTCTCAGCAACTCCAAAATACATATAATTATATATGTATAAGAATTATGGGGGAGTGTAGTGGCTTCATACAATAAGCACTGGACTGTGAACCACACGATCCATGGTTCGATCCTGCCAGCTGCTCTGTGGTTCTGCTCCTGCTGAGTGAAATAAGTCAGTCACAGAAGCATACATATGAGACTATTATAAAAAGTCAAGAAAATGTTATTACATTAAAAGCAACATTCTTTGATAATTACCAGGTATGGGAGGGGAAAGAAGGATAAATTGCTAACTAGAGGAAGGTTACATATTAACTTGGGTGAAGGAGTAGGCAAAAATAAATGTTTATTTCTTGTTCTTTTTTTTTTAAAAACAGATCGGTGTGTTAGAATCCTAATATTGCTATAAGAAAATACCACAAAATATGTTTTAAAGAGCAGAAATTAATTTTTTCTCCTTTAGAATATAATAAAATATTTAACTTGTATTTCTGGCACTTATAGAGTCCTGTCTTTCTTTCAATCTATTAAGTATTCAAAAGCAATAATGGCATTTGGTCTAACATAACAACATGTGTTTGCAAGATGAAAAACAACAATTTCTATGAAGAATATGGGTGCTGTAGGATCAGCACTGGACTTTGATTCACAAGGTCAGCAATTCAAACCAACCAGTTGCTCCTTGCAAACCTTATACGGGATTGCTGTGAGTCGGAACCAACTCGACAGCACTTAACAACCACATGAAGAATATGACTTCTAGTACTCTTTTAACTATTGAACTATGTAGATTCTAAGAAAAGTTCTATTCAGTTGGGCTAAATTCATTTGTTGTTAGGTGTTTGTGGGCATATTTGTAACTATGATGAATTAGTGCTTGTTGAAACACCTCAAATTGTCCTTCCACGTTATCACCACTAGATATCTCTCCTACACGAGTATAATCCAAGTCTTAACTGATAAGGAAAGTTATTCTCAGCATTTGAACTTTTACCTTACCTCCACAAAGAGAGAAAGAAACTGGTATCTTATCAGGTATTGTTGTTGTTGTTAAGTGCTGTGGAGTGGATCCCGACATATCAGCTATTACATTCCCTGTATTTCTAAAAGCCACCAGCCTTTTCCTCCCAGTTCTAACTTTAATACCCCATTCCTTCATGAGATTTCCAGCCCAAATGTAATTCACTGACACTTTGCTGTACGTACTTCCAAGAAAAATTTCAGGATATCCACCAAAGCTACATGCACATGGGGGAAACTAAGTCTTATATCATTTTAATAGAAAGTAAGGCATACACCAAGAATAGTCTAAGAGAAAAATAAAAAATGAAAGTTTTCCAGAGAAGTTTATTTGGTGGTATGTTTGTTTTATTTAATTTTCAAAAATTTAAATAAATTTATTTAATTTTGAAAATTGATTAAAGTAGCTACTAACAAATTACAATATAATAAAGAAACTAAAAATAAGTGAGTGGGAAATTTTTTCAGAGGAATAAAGTTTGAGAGCAAGTTCTGATATGATGCTATGGGTTAGTGTGCCAGACTGCAAAAACCATTTGAACGGCAAGGTCAGCAGTTCAAGCTCACCAGCTGCTTCTTGGAAACCGTATACAGAGTCGCTATGGGTCAGAACCGACTCAATGGCACTTAACAACAACATAGACCTACTTATGCCCTGAATTCAGACTCGTAGCCCCTAGAACTGGAGAGAATAAATTTCTGCTCTTTAAAACTTACTTTGTGGTATTTTCTTATAGCAGTATTACAACTCTAACACACCGATCTCTTAAAAAAAAAAAGAACAAGAAATAAACATTTATTTTTGCCTTCTCCTTCACCCAAATTAATATGTAACCTTCCTCTGTTGTTGTTGTTAAGTGCCATCGAGTCGGTTCCGACCCATAGTGACCCTATACAGGGTTTCCGAGGGTGTAAATCTTTATGGGAGTAGAAAGCCTCATCTTTCTCCCACGGAACGGCTGGTAGTTTCAAACTGCTGACCTTGCGGCTCGCAGCCCAATTCGTAACCACTACGCTACCAGAGCTCACTCTAGTTAGCAATTCGTCCTTCCTTCCCCTTCCATACCTGGTAACTATCAAAGAATGTTGCTTTTAATGCAATAACATTTTCTTGACTTTTTATAATAGTCTCATACAATATGTATGCTTCTGTGATTGACTTATTTCACTCAGCATAATACTTCTCAGGTTCATCCATGTTGTGAAGTGTTTCACAGTTTCCTCATTACCCTTTAACATTGTATGTTAGATAGTACTGTGTGTGTGTGCCATAGTTGGCTTAGCCATTCTTCTATTGAAGGACATTTAGGTTGTTTCCATATTTTTGTTATTATGAATTACACTGCAATGAAGATGGGTGTGTATACATCATGACTCATTTCTTTTGATATTTACCAATATTAGGATTGGTACATCATATGGTATTTCTATTTCCACCATTTTAAGGAAGTGCTATACTGTTTTTCACACTGGTTGTACCATTTTATAGTCCCACCATCAAAGTATTAAGGTTCCA